TGAAGACGGTATTAGTATAGACCTTATAATAGATGCGGGAGAAATTGCAACAGTGAAACTAGCCAATCTTTTTAACAAATGCCTCCTCAATGGAAAAATTCCGAAAGCCTGGGAAAATGCAACAATTATTTTGATTCATAAAAAAGGGGACTGGAAAGATCTAAAAAACTACCGACCCATAAGTCTCCTTTCAGTTACTTACAAACTGTTCACTAAAATCATCACAACTCGCATCTCTGACAGTCTGGATTCTAACCAGCCTAGAGAACAGGCAGGCTTCCGCAGTGCATTCTCAACAACAGACCACATACACACGCTTACCCAAATAAGAGAAAAAACAAACGAATATAGGAAACCCCTGTGTATGGCATTCATCGATTACGAAAAGGCATTTGACTCTGTACAAATACCAGCAGTACTAGAAGCTATTCGAAGACAGGGGGTAGAGGAGATATATTGTAAATTATTAGAAGATATATACGAAGATGGGACAGCAACCATCAAGCTCCACACAGAAACCGATAAAATCCCAATTAAGAAAGGTGTTAGACAAGAGCGATACACTCTCACCAAAATTGTTTACAGCTTGCCTTGAGGAAATATTCAAGAAGCTAGAATGGACCGGAAAGGGTATCAGAATTGGGGACGAATACCTAAACAATCTAAGATTTGCAGATAAGATTGTTCTCTTCAGTGAATCCGCAAATGAATTGCAGCAATTAATAAATGATTTGAATAGAGAGAGCCTGAAAGTCGGTCTTAGGATGAACAAGATAAAGACTAAGATCATGTCCAACAGTAGAGTTCAATTCGAAGAGATACATGTTCAAGGCGAAGCACTAGAGGTAATAGACAAGTATATATACCTAGGGCAACTCGTACAGACAAACACATCTAGCGAAGTGGAAATTAAGCGACGCATCAGTTTAGGCTGGAGCGCCTTCGGCAGACACAGTTGCATACTAAAAGGCTCCTTGCCATTATGTTTAAAAAGAAAAGTCTTTAACCAATGTATCCTCCCAGTTATGACCTATGGATCAGAAACATGGACTACAACCAAATTACTGGAAAGGAAACTAATAAGTGCCCAGAGAGGGATGGAGAGGTTGATGCTGGGAATTAGTCTAAGAGATCGGATGAGGGCGACGTGGATTAGGGAACAGACAAAAGTGGAAGATATACTCGGGAGCATCAAAAAGAAAAAATGGCAATGGGCAGGTCATATATGTCGGAGACAGGACAACAGATGGACAAGGGAAGTAACAGACTGGGTTATAGATAACATTAGGAGGCCAAGGGCCAGACCTGTGACAAGATGACGCGATGAAATGGCGAAATTTGGGGGCCAGGACTGGGAACAAAAAGCACAAGACAGACATGGATGGAAAAGATTGGGAGAGGCCTACGTCCTGCAGTGGATTGACCCAGGCTGATGATGATGATGATGATGATGATATGTATATATATATATATATATATATATATATATATATATATATATATATATATATATATATATATATATATATAAGTATATATATATATATATATATATATATATATATATATATATATATATATATATATATATATATATACAGACTGATGGAGAGAGAAGAAAGAGGGAAGGAGGAGGGATGGAGAGATAAAAGCAAGTATATGCGTATGTGTGTATGTATGAATATATGTTTACGAAGAGACTGGTAAAAAGAGAGACGAAGTCAGGAAATGTCTCTTCTTCTCCGCCGAAATCTTATCGTATCAGACTGTCATATCTGATACGTATTTGGCGGCAATATGTCCCTCGTAAGAGCTAGAGTTACCAAGTATCTCGCTGTATTATGATGATATCTGTATGCAAACATCGTGAAGTTCGAATGAAGGACATGTTATATGTCAACCGTAACATGTCCTTCATTCGAACTTCACGATGTTTGTATACAGTTATCATCATATTACAACGAAATTCGAGTAGAAATGCAAGCAAACCTGAACTAATAATTCATATGCAAAATAGCCATTTCTTCAAACACACTCGGTAGAGATAAGACCCATGAGCAAGGGTGATAAGCCCTCGATGATACTGAAGACTTCTTGGATCATTGTCAGTGTAGTAGCGTCTGATCTCTTGGAAGAAAGCATCTGTGAAGTCTCAAGGTAAAGTTATTTCTACTTACTTTAGCTGTGTTAGAAATGATATACCTTCCTTTATTATTATTAGAATTACTATTTTTATCATTATTAGAATTACTATTTTTATTATTATTAGAATTACTATTTTTATTATTATTAAAATTACTATTTTTATTATTATTAGAATTACTATTTTTATTATTATTAGAATTACTATTTTTATTATTATTAGAATTACTATTTTTATTATTATTAGAATTACTATTTTTATCATTATTAGAATTACTATTTTTATCATTATTAGAATTACTATTTTTATTATTATTAGAATTACTATTTTTATCATTATTAGAATTACTATTTTTATTATTATTAGAATTACTATTTTTATCATTATTAGAATTACTATTTTTATTATTATTAGAATTACTATTTTTATTATTATTAGAATTACTATTTTTATTATTATTAGAATTACTATTTTTATCATTATTAGAATTACTATTTTTATTATTATTAGAATTACTATTTTTATTATTATTAGAATTACTATTTTTATTATTATTAGAATTACTATTTTTATTATTATTAGAATTACTATTTTTATTATTATTAGAATTACTATTTTTATCATTATTAGAATTACTATTTTTATCATTATTAGAATTACTATTTTTATTATTATTAGAATTACTATTTTTATTATTATTAGAATTACTATTTTTATCATTATTAGAATTACTATTTTTATTATTATTAGAATTACTATTTTTATTATTATTAGAATTACTATTTTTATTATTATTAGAATTACTATTTTTATTATTATTAGAATTACTATTTTTATCATTATTAGAATTACTATTTTTATCATTATTAGAATTACTATTTTTATCATTATTAGAATTACTATTTTTATCATTATTAGAATTACTATTTTTATCATTATTAGAATTACTATTTTTATCATTATTAGAATTACTATTTTTATCATTATTAGAATTACTATTTTTATCATTATTAGAATTACTATTTTTATCATTATTAGAATTACTATTTTTATTATTATTAGAATTACTATTTTTATCATTATTAGAATTACTATTTTTATCATTATTAGAATTACTATTTTTATCATTATTAGAATTACTATTTTTATCATTATTAGAATTACTATTTTTATCATTATTAGAATTACTATTTTTATCATTATTAGAATTACTATTTTTATCATTATTAGAATTACTATTTTTATTATTATTAGAATTACTATTTTTATCATTATTAGAATTACTATTTTTTTCACTATATGTCCTTATAATATAGGAGTGCGTCTTATACGCCGGCAAATGCGATTTGTGTATATATATGTGTGTGTGTGTGTGTGTGTGTGTGTGTGTGTGTGTGTGTGTGTGTGTGTGTGTGTGTGTGTGTGTGTGTGTGTGTGTGTGTGTGTCTATGCATACACATACACAAACACACACACACACACATTAACACACACACACACACACACACACACACACACACACACACACACACACACACACACACACACACACACACACACACACTCATATTCACACTCACATTCCCACACACACATACATCACCTTAGCTAAATAACCTGAAAAAATACTGAAGGACAGTTATTGTAACCTCTCTATCGAGGTTAAGAGATGACGATAACAAAGGCTTGTAATAGCAACTGCACTTCAGTCAACATTTTTCACTCGATTATCTACAGACCTCATGTAACTTAGATTACAAGTGGTTTGGGAACGTGAACACGTGAATTAATCATTTCGACATCGTGTTACGTACCTGTGAAAAATGCCTTCAGTAGTGGTGGTTGTTTTCTGGATATTAGCAGAAGCATTGTTGAAGTATTTGGACAATAGTAACAGTAGTAATAGCAATCATCATAGTAACAGTTGTAGTTGTACTTATAGTACTAACAGTAGTAGAAGTAATTATCGTAGCAACAGCAGTAATAATATTTCTCGTAATAACAGAAGTAATAGTAATTATCACAGTAACAATAGTATTAGTAGTACAAATAGTAATAATTTTAGTAGCAGTAGTTGATGTTGTTGTTGTTATGGTAGTAGAATCAATTATGGTATCTGTTGCAGTAGCAGCCACTATAGCACAGGTAATATTGTTTGACATGTCATTCACTCCTTTTCTCATCAGTTTACAAAATGAAAACATACATAATGAAAGGGATTATTTACCGTGACGTCTTAGCATGAAATTATAACATTAAAAATAAAGAAAATGTGAAGATTGATTAAATCATCAACATAGTTTAAACAAATTACACATCTTTGCGTCTATTAACTACAGGAACATATGAAACATTTTTTTGACATTTTTTATCAATATCAATAAATAACAAAGGAAAGTGACGGGCACATAAATACCAGTATGGGCAAAAAAACGATGTAAAAATCGACATAAAAACTCGCCTTTTGTATAAAAACTAAATAAACTACATATCTACAAGTTAGGAAAATTACATTATATAAAAAGTGATATACAAGAAGTGGGGAAAAACAGTAATCACTTTTTGTTAACAGTTATTTCTTACGGAATGTCCCTTGAGATATATTAATATTGTGTTCTGTAATTTGTATGTTTAGTCTATGGGTTAATATCTTATACAAATACACATACATATTCAAGCTGATTTTTTTTTTACTTTCTCACATACACAGTTATCGTGATCATTATTACTGTCACCATTTTCATGATTGCCATTACTACAAATACTATCGATATTGGTGCTACAGTTATTACTATATCATTATTATAGCTATAATCGTCATTAGTATTATTGTTATCACTATCATTAACACAATTAT